AAGGCTGGTTTAGCCAATGAAGGCTGGTTTAGCCAAGAAATCCGATGACAGACATTACCCTCACCCCAATACATACATATCCACCACCATACCTTAGAGAGTGAAAATATGCACTCAACTGCTTTGTTCTTATTATATTTAGCTACTTTGATTCAGTACCTAAGTGAGTGAAAGGGAGAAACAACTTTTTCTGTTCCCCCTCCTGTGGTAACCCACCCTGGCCTCCACTGAAGATTTTTCTTATCATGAGGATGTATGATCTGGCTCATTTTTAGGGAGATCCCTCATCTCGGGATAGGTTCCACTGAGGCCCTAACCCTCCCTAAGGTGGCCACAGAAAGCTTGCCTCATACTCATGGCCCCCTCATACCCAACTTATCTACAGATACGCCCACAGGAGATTAACACAGACACTCTCTCCTCCTCACACGTAGTGACACACATTTGTAGATACACATAGACACACAGACACAGAGTCATTCTCAGCCACTCATCCACGCAGAAATACACATACTCATATATAGTGACACATACGTATGTATGCAAATATAGCCTCTCTCAACCCAGTCTCTCATAAAGATATTTCTCTTTCATTCTCTTATATTTATACCCATACTGGTTCAGAAACAGTCAAATGCCCATTGATAGATAAGTTGAGAGGGAATCTGTCTTGGCAGACAGAAGTGGGTGTCAAGTGGGTGAGTAGACAAATGACTGGGAGAAGGTGGTGGCTGAGTGAGAATGGGTAGGTGGATGACAGAGTGACTGAGTAGGAAGAAGGACAAGTAATCAACTATGATAAGATTCTAGAATATCATATTTTCCAACCTTTTAACTCTCGTTGTAGTTTTTCTTTGAACATTCTCCAAGTCTCATATCTCCCTTCTCTTTGTCTGGCAATCTTTAGCTCTCTCTGTCTCAGTCTCTCTTCCTCTGTGTGTGTGCATGCACATGTATGTGTGTGTATTTTACTTTCCCATAACAAAAAGCTTACTCTAGTGCCAGGTAATATTTTATAACAACAAGATCCCTGATATGTAAATGTAACTGCATTTAAGAATTATTTGTAGTAATGAATTCGTGGAAATGTAATGAGAAAAAGAAAATGTGCTTGTTTATTCCTTTCAGGAAATTCCTCTATTCCCCCTGGTTTTCATCAGCTATATTTTTGTCAGGCTGTGGGCATGGAAATGTGAAGACATCACATTACAATAATCACATCTGATTTATACAGATGTCACCATAGGGTTAGGCAGTTGGAAAATCCAGCAATCAAAATGAATAGGCACTTAAAATTAAGGACATTCCATACTTTTGCTAACACTCTGGTTTTTAACATTATCAGTAGTTCACAGGAGTTTTTTTTCAGGTTTCTAAAGTATTCATAATGGCAAGACAGATTTATATCTTATGAGAACCAAAGCAAGCTATAGACGCTGGCATACTTTCTGCAAATGCATTACAGAGATTTAATTAACTTGGATTTCTTGAGCATATCCTATATGTGCTAGATACTGACGATACTGAAGAAATAAAAGACATTGTGCCTAGCCTCAGGGAATTTATGGTATAGTTGGGGTATGCTGGAGTGGCCTTGTGGGGTTTCAACTGAGTACTAAAAAATAGGTAGGATTCCTAAGCAGGCCAACAGAAGATCACGAGTGAAAGTTAAGAGTCAGAAAAGAGAATGGTATCTTTAGCAGACACTTAGAAGGCTACCCCGGGTAGATGAAGGTAGCATGTTTGAGGGTGGGGGGGGGGAAGACAGATGGGCTGCATGGGAAACAAGTTGTATAGGACTTAGAATATCGAATTGAGATCTGTCACCAATAGAGAGCCACTGAAATTTGACCTCTTTTTATAAAGCCAACATTTATTAATACAATAATATCTACCTTTTCTAAGGGGAAGAACTTACGTGACAATGAAAACCCTAAAATGTGAAGCAGTTTTATAGAAATGCAGCACATATCATGAACTAAGATATATATTGTGACTAGTAAGTGAAAGGAGAGGTAATGGAGAAAGTAATTACTCTGATAGGACTTACTACTGTAATAACTGTCATGAACACAATTATTCTTCGAAATTGAAGCATTAATTGAACCAGTGATAGCCTACTGAGGGACATGTAGGTAGACTGGACAAGTAAATAAGGATAATAAACTGTACTAAGTATCCCAAACCCTCTAATCCATTTTGAGTACATGTTAAGAAGACAGGCTGGTTTCTGGTTATTCTGACCTTTAATCTATAACATAATGGTTTGTTTATTCTTTATTGAACAAATAAATATTAGAGAGCACTAATCCTAATCAGGGAGGTTAGTACAAAAAGGGTAGTTATAAACGCCAACAATGAAGCTCTAGAACCAAAAAGTACAAATAAACACCGTTATCAGTTACTGGCCAGGTCAAACCCCTAGATACATATATATCATTATTCCCCTTCTGTAGGACTCCCATGCTCCCCTCAGGGCCAGGGAAGTATGTTCAAGGCCATCTCCCCCATAGCTTCTGACAGCTGGCTTTCTCCTTTCTCCTTGGGGAAGAATCAAGCAGATTAAAGGGATAATCCTAAATGCTTTTCTAAATTAAAATTAACTCAAAGATGTGAGTACATGTGACACTAAAAGTCAGACTTCCTCTCTGCTTGATGTGGAGAACTAATATCCTTCTACACTTGGCACCAAACCAATGTGACCCCCCCAACCCCCACACACAAGCAGCACCTCCCTCTCCCTCCCCAAAGTCCAAGATGTTCCAGACAACATAACAAACCACACGGTTGGGAATGATTCATATGTTTCCACTCTCTGTCCAAAAATGAGCAAAAAAAGTTTCCACTTAATTTGTAATCAGAATTTTCTGCACATTTCCTAAAAAATTAAAGGGGAATGATTCAAAATCTGGCCTTTCTTTCTCCAAAAGTTACTGATTAGTTACAGACTAAAGTATTTTTTGGTAAAATACTTTTGTGCTCCATCCATCCCTGGAGACAAGGGTTCTAGCTGCATGATGCCAGATATCTAATCAATCATCCAATGTTTTCATGTTTTCGGATGTTTTCAAAAAGCTGGTGTTCTGTAGATACAGGCTTATCCTATCCAGTCTTTTGTTATCTCAATAGTACATATGGATACAGATTTTTCTGTGTGGAATATTTCTCAAGGCCAATGCCTTATTATAGTTCCAACACCTGCAAATATTTGGCAGAGATTGTTCTATCCTCTCCATATCCCCCACACTTCCTGCAACCCCGCCCCCATCTCTTGCCTTCATGAAGCTCTAAGTTTATACAATATGTCCTTTCCTTGATGTTAATCGTTTATCTGTGACCCATGAAATGTGCAGTTGCTGGAGCATAAAAGTCAAGTTTCAAATCACATTTCATGGGGAAAACTCAGATCCAAAACAAAAGTGGCAGCAGGCTACATCAGAAAGGATACTTAACTCAGGGTCTAGAAGCTGAGTTCCATTTCCAGTTCTGTGGCTTTGACCAAATCATTTAACCCATCAAGGTCTCAGTTTATACGACTTCAAAGTGTAGGGCTTCAACTAGACCAAGTCCAAGACTCAGCCTCTTATGATTCTAAGAATTGAAGTCAATGAGATTACTCCTCTCTGCAGTCTTGATATGAATGAGAGTATCACCTTTAGTGAAATCAATATTGAACTTTGTACAAATTTATAAATATTAGATATAAATAATAATCAAAATGGCAAACAATTGTCAGTGTGACCACTCTCAATACTGGTTACAATAAATTACAAAAGGGAAAATTTATCCTATTCTGAGTACTGCTACCTTCACCAACATCATAATTTTACATAAGTTACAATGACTTTTCCAGGGCATGGCAAGAGGAAAATCTCCACTCCCTTCTTGCCCTCTTTCCATCCTATCTGGGTCTTTCTTCCAGCTTGCCTTATATATCCAGGCCCTATTTTGGAGTGGTAATCTTATTATCCATTTAAATATTTTATTTTTCCGGAATTTCTGTTAAGCAGCTCCCTTCTTAAGAGCAGTTAAACCACATAGCAGACAGGCAATGGGAATAAAACGATTTACTGGATTTGACATTTGTTAACATCAATGTGAGGTAGTAGGGTTTTAAAAAACAGGCACTTAGACTTGCACACAAATATTACATGGCACAACAACTTTGGAAAACTCGGTCCACTGAACAGAAATGAAAGACTAGGAACTTCCAAGGCAGGGCCTGCAAACAGGTGCTTCAGTTCATAACCCACAAAAACGAACACTGGCACAAAATCTGAGACTGGATTAAATATTCATTGCCTTCGGTTTAAATTTTTAGTTCAGGTATTTGATTATCCCTCCTGACTTTGCGGCACACTTAAGTTCTTCTGTTGACTGTTTTGTTTTTAAGGCAGGCTTAGAATTAGCCCGTGTTAAAAGTTTAATGGGAATTTGTAGTGGCGAATGCCAAACCTTTGTTTCTTTAGTGTACTGAGTATGCAAACACATAGACTACTGTCCTCCACAAAAATCTCTCGCCTACATAGATACACTCAGACACCTCCACCCACACCTACACAGAGACACACCCATCCTTCCCATTGCTATATGCATACATATGCAAATAAGCACATATGCTAATGACAGTACACCTACACAGGTACTCACATACTTAAAAGAAGAGGTGGAAAGATCATGGCAAATATATGTAGTGTGCAATATGTCACTGACAGAGGAGAGAGGGTGCTGTTTCCCCGGAAGGACCACTGGTGTGGCGGGTCAGGGGCCAACTCCCCCAGAATTGCCAGAGGTGAATGAATGCAAGCAGGTTTATGCAACAGATGAAACAGGTTCTGGTGGGAGCTTGCAGGTGAGTAGGTTAGTCCTTAAGAGAACAACTTGGTGTTAATTCACTTGTCATATAGGAAAAGTGGCCCATTTTATTAGAGAACTTGCTAACTGTATAACTGTATATAAAGAGACAAAGTTGTATAAAGGATATTTCCCAGATCGCTTACCTTGAGTTTCTCAAATCGATCATTCAGGGATGCGACCTGATGGTCTCGGTGACGCCCCACCAGTTTGCATAAGGCACAGATCAATTGGTCATCAGATACACAATACATGTTCACTTTCTCATTCTCATGGTCCAGACAGGTGATCCCTCGAAGATGTGTGTCTGGCACTGGTTCCACCAGGCGGTGGCTGGTGAAAGGTTTCTTGTTGGGGTGTGTGGCCCGCAGGCAACGGTCACAGTAGGAGACCTCACAGGTGATGCAGGTTTTCACTGCATCCCTTGGCGGGTCCTGCTCACAGAATTGGCAAGCAATTCGTTCACTAGACATGGCGGTGCTGGGCCTGTAAGTCCTCTCCCGGCGGCTCTCACTTGGCGAATTGGGCCCACTGACTGAAGCCTTCTGGAAGCGGTCAATAATGTTCTGCAGAGTCACATTCCTCTTGAGGCCATCCAGGCCCCGGTGGTTCAGTGAGATAACATACCTACACGTAGGACACTGAAAAGCAGTAATGGGTTCAATGGATTCACCAGAGCTGCAGTTCGAGACCAAGATGCGATGGGCACAGCTGAAGCAGAGGCTATGAGCACAAGGGAGCAGAAGGGGGTCTTCAAACAACTCTAGGCAGATTGGACAGGTCAATTCAGACTCCAGTGTTTCCATCTTTAGTGAAAATAATCCTGCTGAGGCATTAAGAACCACAGAGGCTGGGCTTTCACCTGCAAGGAATACAAAGCAAGAGTCATTCAGCATTTCCAAAGGAAAAGTGGATATAGCATAATTATACGCTAACCAATGGACGCTTTACATGCTGGATTCCCCAGGGATGCTGGAGCAATAGGAAAGTGATTTTGGAATTAATCAGAAAGCCTTTCTCCCCCTTCAAACCTTGTTTTTGACAAATGCTTGAGAATATTTTCCTGCACTAATAAATAGAACCCAGTGGCCATCTCTGAATCCTGGTTTACCGATTAACATCACTATTCCAGCTCACAACACTGGCATGGATCATTCTCTCGCATATTCTCCACCGACATCTCTTGCCCTGGACTATGGTGAGCCTGAGGCCCTGCAAAATTCTCAATCTTCATTCTCCAATATTGTTTTCTAATTTACTTCAAGGTAAAATATAAGAGCTACTCCTATTTCACATCTATTGGAAGGAAAACAAGGCCATATTTCAAACTAACTCCCTAGTTCTTGAAATGATTCCATTCTGGGAGCCTGCATAAAAAAGAGGAGAGAACTTTAGAAAAATGTAGTTCTTGGTGCAGGATAATAAGTTCTTCAGAATGTGAACTTGAATTACTTCCCATTACCACACATGGAAATTTCTGTTCCATCACATTTCTAGTAAACTGAGTTACTAGAGACAAAAGATGATAGTTTTCACTTTCATTTTCTTCCCTCACCTTCAGAAGACTCTTCATCAAGCTGAATGAAAAACTATCTCAACTTTGCAATTTTCTCAGCAACAGTTGCTGATCAATAATGAAGACATATTACCTTGTAGCTTCAGTTTGATTTTATTATTAAACACCCGCAGAGCTAGCACAAGCCTACCATGAAGCTCACCTCCCCATGTGTCTTCTCATACTTCCTAAAACATAAGATGCAAATCAAGATCTAGGTATAAATTAGCAAGGTGAGGAGCCAGAAATTTTCAGATCTGATAACCTTTATTTTAGTATGTGCATCAGAGTAAAAGAAGTCACCCAATTATCAAGAAACTAATCTCTTGGTCAATCTATCTCTTCTTTCACAGACATTGCTGAGCTGAACATAGAGATACTAATTGCCATGGGTCTTCCATTAATTAAAATCAATACACATAATATTCTAAGCTAGCCTTAACTAAAGAAAAATATAAAATAAATCTTACTGACTATAAATGTTAATCTTATTTATAGGGAAGAGAAAGGCATCTTTTGATTTGAATAACTTTTGTTCATCATCTTACTACCCTTGGAGACCCTCATCAGGGCCTGAAAATTTGATTCTGCCATTGATATTTGCTCAGATTTTGTCATCTATCAGTGATATATGCATAGCCCTCTCACAGGATACTTAAATACTGAGTACAATTATACCTTGTGCATAAGTACAATAGATGAACCCCTAAAAGCTGTTTCTAAATCAAACCTTTTAAGTGCACTGAACTAACTAGCTATGTAATGGAAACTATAAGAAACTGGGCTGTAAAAGTGAAAAATCTTTTTGTAAAACAGTCACTCTCAGTTGGTTTGATAAGCTCAGATGTTTGTATAACCACTTTTTTAACGGTGAGACGTGTGGTATTCTTCTTTTATAATTTACAAGTGCTTGAAAATTGTTGGCTAGTATTTTGTAGCTTATAATATCTATCAGCATTCACCTACAGGGATGAAAAAGTAAAATAATTAAAATGTACATATATCATAGAATCTTAGAATTGGAAGAGACTTTAAAGATGATAGATTCCAACTTCCACGCAAGGCAGGAATATTGCCTCTCATAGCTTCACCTGATATCCCTCAGATGCTCAAATTCAACAGGTCCATAAATCAACTTATTATTCTCCCCACCTCCCAAAAAACAAAACACTTGCTCCTCTTCCAATTTTCCCTATCTGCTGAATAGCATCATCCAAGTCTAGAAAACTAGGAATTCTTTCATTTACATGTTTATCACCTCAACCAGTGATGGCTTTCAGAACATTCTGTTTTCTTTCATTTACACATCTGTGTCTCCAGCTAACTCTCCCTGCTCCTTGAGAGCATCAACTATTCATATTTTTATTCACAGCACGGTGCCTCACACATACTAGGTATTCAATAATTGTTAAACAAAGGGTCCCTTAAACTAGAAGTTAGAAGAAAGGACCTAGCATGTATTGAGCACCTCCTGTATTCTGAGTATTGTTAAGCACTTTACACACATTATTCTGTTAAATTCTATCAGGAAGCCGGTAAGAAAGCTACTACTACCATACCCATACTATAGTTAGGAAATTGGGGCTCAGCGTTGTTAAGCAAATCAACCAGGAACATCCACTGTGGCAGTCTAAAGCCAATGCCTGTGCTCTTTCCCCTACACCTTTATTTCAATCATCTCACCTCCTCCACTGAAGTTTATCTTGACTATTTACAAGAGGGTTTCTAAACAGTATGTTTCCGCTTCTATTTTTGTCTCTCTGTGTCCCGCTGAGTTTCTCTGAATCTGCCTCTCATTCCGAGTCCCTTCCAGAATCATATCTTTTTATTCTAGGCCCATCTCCACCTCACACTGCATTTCTGTTGCTATCTCTTCCAGAAATGCATGTCTGCATTCCTGAATGTCTGTGTTGGAAGCTACCTGGGAGAATCGAGTGAGGCCTCCCGCCAAAATGACAGTTGGTCAGGAGCACTGCTGAAACCTATACAAACACAATCAGAGTGCTATAATTCTTCTAAGTCTTAGGAGGGTGCCGGATAAATTCTTCTGTACAGAGGAAAAGCTCTCTGAATTTCTCTGGAATGCTAAAAATTGTTCCCTAGTAAGTGTGACACTTGAATCTTACTACGAAATTAAACTTGGGAAAGCATGCAATTGTTCAGCATTGCCTTGGATGAGGTCAAAATAGGATTTTTAACTAGGAATTTCTTAACTTCCTTGAACTGTTTGAAGAATGTTGTATGTATGTCATATATACATTTCCATGGAGAGAGGGTTGTCCATAGCATTCAAAATATTCTCAAAAGAGTCCAAGACAGAAAAAAAGTCAAACACTAGTGCTCTAAAATAACCTACTTTAACTGACTTCAGCTCTATAAAGACTAATGTAAGATGGTTATAGTCTGTTGTTTACAGTAAGTAACTTTTTTATACAGTTTCTATTCTGTTCTATTTTACCATCATGTAGTAACTGCTTTAGCCAATTTTGGGGAACTGAATATTTTTTTCACTTCTTCAAACATCTGTTCATCTCTTCTCTCATTTATGAAGCCACCTTGTTCTGGTCACACCTAATATTTCAGCATCCTTTCAACTACCCCCATTTTCCCTACCTCCCTGATTATCTAAGCACATTTCCCCTTAAAATTTATTGGGCATTTACTACGTGCCAGGCACTAAATAATACCCTTTACATGCATTATCTCATTTAATTTTCACAACAACCCTCTAAAAGGTAGGTACTATTATTACCATAAAAAAAAGGTTACTTGTCCAGGGTCACATGTGTTTGCAAGTAGCAAAGCTAAGATTCAAACCCGGAATAAAACTGAGAGTCCAGAAATAAACTCATAGACTCATACATTTATGGCCAATTGTCTTTGGACAAGGATTTCAAGACCATTCAATGGGGAAAGAATAATCTTCTCTACAAACGGTGCTAGGACAACTGTATATCCACAAGCAAAAGGATGAAGTTAGAGCCCTACCTCACACCATATATAAAAATTAATTCAAAGTGGACCAACAACCTAAATGTAAAGGCAGAAACTATAAAACTCTTAGAAGGGAACATAGGTGTAAATCTCTGTGAACTTAAGTTAGGCAAGGGTTTCTTAGATGACACCAAATGCACAAGCAACTAAAGAAAAAAATTGATAAATTGGACTTCATCATTATTTAAATCTTCTGTGCTGCAAATGACACCATCAAGAAAGTGAAAAGACAATTCATAGAATGGAAAAAAATATTTGCAAGTCATATATGTGATATGGGTCTAGTATCTAGAAATATACAGAACTCTTACAACTCAACAATAAAAAGATAAAAAAAAAATTAAAAATGGGCAAAGGATTTGAATAGACATTTCTGCAGAGAAGATATACAAATAAATGATTACTAAGCATATGAAAAGATACTTAACATCATTAGCCATTAGGGAAATGCAAATTGAAACCACATTGAGATACCACTTCATACTCACTAGAGTGGCTATAATACTACTTCACACCCACTAGGATGACTATAATTTTCAAAAATAGCAAATGTCAGCCAAGATGTGGAGAAATGGGAACCCTCATACATCGCTGGTGGGAATGTAAAATGGTGCAGCTGCTTCAGGAAATAGTTTGGCAGTTCCTTAAATGGTTCAATGTAGAATTACCATATGATCCAGAAGAACTGAAGATGTGCTCACTCAAAAACTTGTACACAAATGTTCATAGCAGCATTATTCATAATAGCCAAATGGTGGAAACAATCCAAATGTCCATCAACTGATGAAGGGATAAACCAATGTGGTATATCTATACAATGGAATATTATTCATTGAAAAAAGGAATGAAGTACTGATATATCCTACAACATGAATGAGCTTTGAAAACATTATGCTAAGTGAAAGAAGCCAGTCACACAAGGCCAAAAATTATATGATTCTTTTTATATGAAATGCCCAGAATAGGCAAATCCATAAGAATAGAAAGTAGATTAGTGGTTGCCAAGGGTTGGAGGAAGGGAAGGATGAAGAGTGACTGCTAATGGGTATGGGGTTTCTTTTTAGGATGACAAAAATGTTCAGGAATTAGATAGTGGTGATGGTTGCACAACTTTGTGAATATACTAAAAACCAATGAATTGTACACTTTAAAATGGTGACTATTATGATATGTGTATTATATCTCAATTGAAAAAAAAAAGATTCAAACCCAGGTCTGACTCCAAAGTGTGAAAAGGTAACCACTATACTATACTGCCAACTGTAATTATGTAGTATTTCTAAACTCTATTGGATTGTTTACTGCTTTCAATT